TGCTAAAACTCGGTTTCTATCGATTTAACTCATTTGCCTAGAAATGGAAAATAGAGAAAACTACCACAAATCCAACACAACTCATACATAATCATACACATTGATCAAATAATAATGTTTCTCACCCTTACCTTGATTGGATTGAAGCTTGAAGTTGATTCTTGATGATTTCTCCAAGTTTCCCTATTCTCTTCTCTTTTCTCCTCTTTCTCTATTCTTTCTCTTCTATTTTCTTTCTATCCAATTCTTTCCACTTATCCCTTATATACTTCTATTATTTCTTTCCTCCCATTTCTCTCTTCAATTATCTACCAAATAAATCCATTTAATCCAAATCATTAAGATTAATTCCAATAAATCAATTAATTAACATAATTAATTAATTAATGAAATTTGGGCTATTACATTCAAAAAGTTGATTATTGATCTTGAGAATATCGAGGTTAAGATTGATGATGAAGATCAAGTGTTACTATTGTTGTGTTCTTTACCTAAGTCTCATGCTCACTTCAAGAAACAATATTGCATGGAAGAGAGTTGTTATCCTTTGAAGATGTTCAATATGCCTTGTACTCTAAGAATTTGAACAAACGAAAGGAACACAAGCCGTCTTCTGTTGGTGAAGGTTTGTTCGTTAAGGGGAAATTCTTGAAGAAAGATAATAGGTTTGAGAAGAAGAATGGTAAAGTTCTACATAATTTTTATGGTGGTAATGCTCCTACTATTAAGTGTTATCATTGTAAGAAGGAAGGTCATACCAGAAAAGTATGCCCTGATCGACTGAATAATCATGGTAAAAAGGATATTGGTAATACAACCATTGTGCAAGATGGTTATGAATCATTTAATATCCTAGCGGTTTCAAGCAGTGACTCTAGCAAGGACTAGATTATGGATTCAGAGTGTACTTGACACATGACTCCAAACAAAGACGTGTTTGAGGAATTGTGTGATCAAGATGGTAGATCAGTGCTGCTGGGAAATAACAAAGTTTGCAAAATTGAAGGTATTAGATATGTGAGATTCAAGCTCCATAATGAGTCAATAAGGCTATTGACTGATGTTAGGTATGTACCTGATCCTAAGAGGAATTTGATTTCTCTTGGTGAATTCGACAAGAAAGGATATGTTTTCAAAGGAGAGCAAAGTATCCTAAGGGTAATGAAGGGGTCGAAGGAAGTCTTGAAAGGCGTAAAGAAACAAGGCTTGTATACCCTTGAGGCTGAGGTTGTAAGTGGTTCAGCAAATGTGGCATCCATGAAACCTCTATCAAAGAATGACCTATGACACGAGAGACTTGGCCATGTCAGTGAAAGTGGCCTGGTCGAATTATCAAAAAAAAATCTGCTAGGTGGCGACAAGGTCAAAAAACTGGAGTTTTATGAACCTTATGTACTTGGTGAATCCTGTAGAATGAATTTTAACAAAGGTAAACAAATAACACATGGATCCCTTGATTACATTCATGCTGATCTTTGGGGACCTTCAAGGAATCCTTCACACTCGGGTGCAAATTATTTTCTATCTATACTTTATGATTACTCTAAAAAGTCATGGGTATTCATCCAGAAGACTAAGGATGAAACTTTTGAAAAGTTTAAAACTTGGAAGACTCTGGTCGAAAATCAAACTGATAGGAAGGTCAAGAGATTGAGGATCGACAATGGTCTTGAATTTTACAATGAGGCTTTCGACAGCTATTGGGTTGCGTATGGTATTGCAAGACACAAAACTACTGAAGAGACTCCCTAACAAAATGGTTTGGTTGAAAGGTTTAATTAAACCATTCTGAAAAGGGTGAGGTGCATGTTGGTAAGTGCAGGATTGAAGAAGGTGTTTTGGGAAAAAGTTGTTGCGATTGTAACATACTTGATAAATAGACGTCCCTCGGCAGTCTTGGGGATGAAAACACCTGAAAAAGTCTGGTCGGGACGTCCACCTAGTCTCGACAGACTTAGAGTATTTGGTTATTTAACCTATGCTCATATTAGGAAAGACAAGGTCGAACCTAGAGCTCTGAGATGTATGTTCCTTGGATACCGCAAAGGAGTCAAAACTTATAGACTGTGGTGCCTAAAGCCAGGTCATAGGAGGTGTATCACAAGTCGATATGTAGTTTTCAATGAAGTTGAGATGACTTTCAAGAAAATAGATGACAATGGTCGAAGTTGGAAGATCTATGAAGAAGAGTTGGAACAAGAAGAAGTTCTTCTTGAGGTGGAGTATAGTGATGTTGAATTGCTGACCCAGATGAAGTCGAAGAAGAAGCAGAAGTTTTTGTCGAAGATGAGGAGACTAATAATGACTACCTATTAGCAAGAGACAGGTCGAGAAGAGTCATCAAGCCATCTCAGAGACTTGGTTATAAATATCTCATATCTTATGCCTTAATCGCTACAAGTGAGGTTCTTAACGAAAAACCTAGAGACTATAAGGAAGTTATGAGAAGTTGAGATAAGACTGAATGGCTGAAAGCCATGGATGATGAGATAAAATCTCTCCATGATAATAACACTTGAGAGCTGATCGAGAAACCTGTAAGGGTCAGGTTGGTCAGCTGTATGTGGATCTTCAAGGTTAAGGAAGGAATCGAATGAGTGATGTCGAAGCATTTTAAGGAAAGGTTGGTTGTTATGGGGTTCACTCAGAAAGAAGGTGTCGAACTCAATGATGTTTTCTCACCGGTCGTAAAGCATAAATCCATTAGAATGTTGTTAGCCATGGTGGAAAAGTTCGACGTAGAACCTGAACAGATGGATGTGAAGACAACCTTCTTGTATGGTGATTTAGATGAAATAATCCTGATGAGGCAACCTGAAGGGTATGTAGAAAAGGGAAAGGAAGATTATGTGTACAAGCTGAATAGATCCTTGTATGGCCTGAAACAATCTCCTCGACAATGGAATAGGATATTCGACAAGTTCATGGAACACATTGGTTTCACTAGGAGTCAGCTCGGCCACTGTGTTTATTTTAGATTTCGACCTAGAAATTCACTTGTTATTTTGTTGCTTTATGTGGATGACATCCTCATAGTAAGCAACATTGTCGAAGATGTTATAAATGTGAAGCCTGAACTCGGTAAGGAGTTCGACATGAAGGATCTGGAAGTTGCCTCCAGAATTCTTGGGATTGACATCCAGAGAGATAGAAAGCAGTCGAGATTATACTTATCTCAAGAGACATACTTGAAGAAGATTCTCAACAAGTTTGGTATGTCAAATTCAAATCCTGTTCTAACACTGACTATTCCTCAGTACAAGCTGAGTATGACTCAAAGTCATAGTACTGGAGTTGAAAGAGCCTATATGAATAGCATTCCATATGCTAGTATAGTAGGTTTTTTGATGTATGTTATGGTTTGTACGAGGCCGGACATAGCATACGGAGGGAGCCTTGTAAGTAGGTATATGGCCAATCCTGGGAAGACGCACTGACAAGTATTCAAGTGGATTTTTAGGTACATAAATGGGTCTTTGAGTCGAGTCTTGATTTATGGAGGAACCTGTGGTGATGATAGCAAAGTCAAAACTGAAGGATTTGTCGACTCTGATTATGCAGGTTGTATGGATTCCAAAAAATCTATTTTTGGATATATGTTCATTATGTCGACACAACAATTAGTTGGAAAGTGATACTTCAGAAGTTTGTTGCCTTAGCATCCACTGAATCAAAACATTTTTCCCTCACTGAAGCTACGAAAGAAGCATAGTGACTTGAAGGTTTTGCTAAGGAGTTGGAACTTTAAGATCGAGTTATCACTGTTAAATATGATAGTCAAAATGCAATACACATGTCGAAGAATTTGGCCTATCATGAGCGAACCAAGCACATCGATGTGAGACTGCACTTCGTTAAAGAGATAATCAAGCATTGAGAAGTCTAAATGTTGAAGGTTTCGACTGATGACAATGTTGTTGATATGACCACCAAGACATTGCCGAGTAGCAAGTTTTTTTTCCCACTGTAAGTAGTTGATAAAGCTGCATGATAAAAGTTAGTTTGTTCCTTTGTTATAGAGTTTGTTCTAAGGTGGAGATTTGTGGTATTTGGATCGAACTCTAGTCTCGAAAAGGGTAGCTTCATTGTTCGACATGAGTTGTGTATGTTGTAGTCGAAGTCTGTTCCAACATAATGTCGAAATATATTAACTTGTAATTTTAGTTAGTATGCTGAATTGAGTCTCACTTCTAATCATAATTGTTAAGTTAGCTTAGTAGTCTATAAATAGACTAGTTCTCTCATGTTGTTGAGAGAAGTTAATTGTTGGTATTCACTTGTAATATTTGAACCCTTATTGAATAAGTGAATAGTAAAACAATTTTAATCAATTCTTATTCTTCTTCCTTCTTCTCTATATCTTTTGTAAAATTTAATAAGATTTCTTATGTTTGTTCAAAAAATTCAATCTTTTTCTCATATTTTAATTTGTTCTTAACAATATCAATTCATAATCAGCTCTTTTTAAATTAATAGTATAATATGATAATATGTATATGTAAACTATATTACTTGGTATAAAATTACTTTAATATATGTGAAGTAGATTAATTGAGCAATAAAATGTGAAAAACCAGGCTAGATATTTAACTCCAAAGTTTTGAAATTAGAATACAAAATCAAGAGACTTACCTACGAGATGGATAGGGACATCTTGGTGCTGATATTTGTGGCTTGCAACTTCTAGCCACACCAATCCCATTATCCCTCTTTGTTCCTTATTTTTATTATTATTCCATCTCTTGTCAAAATCTCAACCTCTAATAATATTTTCCAATAATTATTATGTTTCTTCTATTTTTCACACTCTTTTTCATCTCTTCTTTCTTTCTTATGCATTTGATAAATTCTTCATCAACCGTTTAATTAATGCAAATCACTCTTTGTGTTTTGATCCTTTGATCAGACACAACAAAAGACATAATTAGAAACTTGAACTTGTGTTTTGTTGAATTGGTTCATAACCTTCGTGTCTGTGTTTGTGTTTGTTCAACTCAACCATGGCTTCTACCTTGTGTTACAACTCTCTAAATCCCTCAACAGCATCTTTCTCAAGAACCCATTTCTCAATTCCCGTTAACAAAGACTTTTCACTTGAAAATTCTTCATCTTTTCATACCTATGGAAGAACCAGAACAAGAAAACAGAGGAAAAACGTGTTCGTGATGCATGTGAAAGTGAAAGCTGCAGTGGCTGAATCTACTGCACCACCTTCCTCATCAACACAAGCTGAGAAGAAGAATCTCAGGGTACTTGTAGCTGGTGGTGGGATTGGTGGATTGGTTTTTGCTTTGGCTGCAAAGAGAAAAGGGTTTGAAGTGATGGTGTTTGAGAAGGATTTGAGTGCTGTGAGAGGAGAGGGACAGTATAGAGGTCCAATTCAGATACAGAGTAATGCTTTGGCTGCTTTGGAAGCTATTGATTCAGATGTTGCTGATGAAGTTATGAGAGCTGGTTGTATTACTGGTGATAGAATCAATGGCCTTGTTGATGGGGTTTCTGGTTCTTGGTATGTTGCAAAATTGTTTTATGATGTGTATAATTGATTTTGACATGTTTAATGTTGTTGAGTAGAATTGGTTTTGATTCTATAATTGGTTTTTAGTTTGGATCATTTATTGTTATTTGGTATTTTTGGGATTATTTTCTATTTCTGGATTATCTTATTTCAGCTTTACATAAAGTAGTTAGGTTGTTTGGGTATATTGGCGGTATAAATAAGCCTCAAGTGTAAACATCTAGATGTTTCTAATGATTGTGTTTATATAGAGTTTTTTCTTCACTTGGTGTCTAAAACTTGAGTTGGTGGAGCATTCAATGTTAGAGATGTTTTATAGGTTTAGGTCATGTTTAGATAAGCGACTTAATTAAGCACTTATAGCATAAGCGCTTATTATATAAGTGCTCATGTATAAGCTATTTCACTAACTAAAGATGAAATAAAGTCAAACTGTTTTTATATAAGCTATAAACTATTTTGATATGCTATCATCCAGAGCTTATAGAAATAAGTTGAAAACAGCTTATGAACGTGTCAGAAGTTGTTTCCACATTCATGACAGTTATTGCACACATTCGTGCCATGAATTGATATCTAATTTGTTATCAGGTACGTTAAGTTTGATACATTCACTCCTGCAGTGGAACGCGGACTTCCAGTCACACGAGTTATTAGTCGAATGGTTTTGCAAGGGATCCTTGCTCGTGCAGTTGGAGAAGATATCGTTATGAATGCTAGTAATGTTGTTAGTTTTGTAGATGATGGAAACAAGGTAACCAGAGAAAAACGCTTTATTTTCTGAAGCTATTATTCCATTCTTCTTGAATATTCACTGGAAGACTAATGAGATTACATATCATTGGATTTGAAATTTACACTTTTTTAATCAAGCTGGCCGATTTCAGGTAACAGTGGAGCTTGAGAATGGTCAAAAATATGAAGGAGATCTATTGGTTGGAGCGGACGGTATATGGTCCAAGGTATCGTAAACTTTTCTGACTCTGATCTTATTCATTAGCCAATAGTTTTTATGATATTAAAGTAATACATAGTATAATACTTTACGATAGAACTCTTGTTTGTTTGACTTGTTCTTCTGTTGCAAAAACACTTTTTTGTAATTTTGTTTGTCAAAACGGGATCTTAATGTTATTGTATTATTTTGCAAATAGGTAAGGACACAGTTATTTGGACAAACAGAAGCTGTTTATTCCGGCTATACTTGTTATACTGGTATTGCAGATTTTGTGCCTGCTGACATTGATTCTGTTGGGTATGTTGGTCATTAATTTTGTATCGGTATTTATGTTTTCTTTGACCTATATTTATAGTTTTGTTAATATGACTAATATCATATTTAGAAGCTGACGTAAGTTTTTCTTTGAGAAGGTATCGAGTTTTCTTGGGACACAAACAATACTTTGTATCTTCAGATGTTGGAGCTGGAAAGATGCAATGGTATGCGTTTCACAAAGAAGCACCCGGTGGTGTCGATGAACCAAATAGTATGCATTTTTAATGTATTTGTTAGAAGAATGGCCTTTTTGAACTTTGGCATGTGGGAAAAAGTTAAACCATTGTATTAATCTCTTAATTGATTTTGCACTGCAGAAAAAAAAGAAAGGTTGCTCAAGATATTTAAGGGCTGGTGTGATAATGCGGTAGATCTCATGGTTGCAACTGACGAAGAAGCAATTCTGCGACGAGACATATATGATAAAATACCGACGTTTAAATGGGGAAAGGGTCGTGTAACTTTGCTTGGTGATTCTGTCCATGCCATGCAGCCAAATATGGGCCAAGGAGGATGCATGGCCATTGAGGTATTTAATATTTCTCTTATCTGTTCTCTTGTCGCTTCATTCAGTCTCCTTTTAATATGATTTTTTTACACTTGGTTGATTAGTTTCTGCAATATCCTACATTTTCAGACCTATTGTACATATCAAGTTGTTCACGGTTCTATGGATTTCGGTATTTCAGTTTATTTTTCTCTTGGCTTTTATGAGAGAACTTGGAGGGGATTAGTACTCAGCCAAATACTCAAACAGTGAGGAAAAAATCCATTTCTAACTAAAGCTTATTTAATCAATTATTACAGGACAGTTATCAACTTGCATGGGAATTGGATAGTGCATGGGAAAAAAGTATTAAATCAGGGAACCCAATTGAAGTTGATTCATCCCTGAGGAGGTAATATACCATTTACTTTTCAAATATGCACTATACTAAAAAATTATTTTGTTGACTTGATATGAACTGAGAGATGCTTTCACAACCTACTTAGCACTGACACTTCAGATTAGAGACACGTTCAATGTCTGATATGACATGACACATGTGATCACATTCAATGGTTCATAGTTTTTCAAATTATTACTGGTGTTGATGGTTTTGATGTGTCAATGTCGTATTATGTGTCTGTGTATGTGTCAGGGCTTTATATTTTACATATTTTTCGTCAGCCATGATACAAGAGTTAATCTGTCATCATTTTGAAATAGTTTAACTTGATATTCTCTTTCCTGACGTGACTGATGATACATATGTTTTTTTTCCAATCCCATGAATGCTTTCAGATATGAAAGTGAAAGAAAAATTCGAGTTGCGGTTATTCATGGAATGGCTAGAATGGCAGCTCTGATGGCTTCCACCTACAAGGCATATCTAGGTGTTGGTCTTGGTCCTTTGGAGGTAGGAACTTAAATTCTACAAATATATTTAATCTTCAATATAATATGCTTTGCGCTTATTCACCGTTTCTTTTATTTCTCTACAGTTTTTGACCAACTTTCGTATTCCTCATCCTGGAAGAGTTGGAGGGAGGTTTTTCGTTGACATATTGATGCCGTCTATGTTGAATTGGATCTTAGGTGGAAATAGGTAATGATGAGAGCCTACTTTGCTTTTCTCCATGACTTTCTCGGTTATTCATGCTAGAATTCTAAGCCAATTGACAATAATTGCTCTACTTTTGCAGTTCAAAACTTGAAGGTAGACCAATAAGTTGCAGGCTCTCAGACAAAGTATGTCGCGCAAACATAGTTACTTTTATACTTTGTTGCCGAGAAGAAATTGTATCTGGCGATATCTATTAGATTTGCTGTGATCCAAATGCTAATAGGCATTAATTTATTTCTTTTGCAGGCAAACGGACAATTGCGCAAATGGTTTGAAGATGATGATGCACTTGAGCGTGCTATTAACGGAGAGTATGTCTCAGACCAAATATGTTCGAGTATCATCCTTTACATATTTTTAACCATAACATAGATAACCTGATATACATGTCTATCCTTCTTGTTTGAATTATAGGTGGTTTTTATCACCGTGTGGAGATGAAACAGGTCTTTCAAAACCAATACGATTAATGCAAAATGAAATGAAACCCTTTATAATTGGGTATGCGTACTTACATTGCATTGTTCCATTCTCAATTTTCGTTACATATATCTAATTTTTCACTTTCATCTCCTTTTCTGATATATTATGAAATCGCAGGAGCGCGGTGCAAGAAGATTCTCCAGGTAGTTCAATTACAGTTTCTTCGCCCGAGGTAGAACAGTTTATCTTCACTTGAACAAACTCATTTCCATGCTTAATTTTTTTTGACATCGTGCAACATGATGAATAATCTTTCTCTTTTAAGGTTTCTCCAACGCATGCTCGAATTTACTATAAGGATGGTGCCTTCTTCGTAACTGATTTGCGGAGTGAACATGGCACATGGATCGTCGAGTAAGTTAAATAAACGCAAGCTACTGTGTTTTACTTGTATAGTATTATTTCTCGAAAAATGTATTTAAATATCATTTATGACTATGTTTCAGCATTGAAGGAAAGCGATACCGGGTACCTCCAAATTACCCTGCCCGTGTCCGTCCATACGATGTACTTGTGTTTGGTTCTGATAAGGTGATAAAAAAGGAGAAGCACTTTTCACATTAGACATATGCTACGACGCACAAGCACATACACAGATACTGAAACTAACACGTAGCGTCCAAATTATTTGCAGGTTTCATTTCGAGTTAAGGTGAAAAGTGTGGCTCCAAGCATCTCTACGAATGAAGAGACACAAGTTTTCCAAGAAGCATGATTGATTGTGTTGAACCAGAATATTGAAGTTACAGAAAAGTTACACGAGACAAATTTGTAGCTGTAGAGGATTATACAAAGTTGCCAATTATTTTGGTGACAATATTGGGTAGGAATTGTCTCCTACAAGCACTCCATTCATTTATATAGTATGAGTCATAAACTTGCACATGTTGAATGGAGTGACCATGGAAGGCAGTGTATGTAGCTAAGAATTTCTCAAACTTTTGGGATTCAGAAAGTGGAAATGTATATTTATCAATGTAAAAAGTGCAAATTCAATTTACTCTTTATCACTCTTTTGGATATATACCATGATTACTGGACAGGCTTAGCAACGTTTTTACGATCCAACTGAGTTTTATTTTACTCTTTCTCGCTGTTTTCAGTTGATGTTTCTAAATTCTTCTGAATAACTTATAAAAATAGTTTGCACAAAAATAGTTTTATTTATTTTATTTTATGTTTTGCTATAGAAATAATATGCATATAAACCTCTTCAAATAAGTTGTTTTTATCAAGTGCACTATAATTGAAAAGATAATGAGAGATAAAAAACATGTCATTCACTTAATCAATAGACTGCCTATAACTCACATGTGATTGTTGTGAGAACATTCATAACTAACTAAGATATAGATATATGAATTTAGGGAATTAAGTCTGATTTCTAATAATTATTATGGATAGAATCAATCGTATTAAATGCTCTCAATTAGGCCTTCTTATAACATGGGTCAAAATCACTATATAAGAGGAGGAGCATCTGAGAAACAATAAACTCCTAATTTCACTCAAAGAATCAAATGTGCCATGAGATCTTGTAAAACTGATATGAGCCATATATTCTCATTCCAACAACATTCCGACCTCGTTTCATTATGACAAGAGCTGTCACTAGTAGCAACAACCACAACCACAACAATGGCCGAGCTCTCATAGCAAAAATGTTGACTGCTATGGAGGAACTATGTCGTCGGAATGAGATAATTCAAGATAACGTGTGGGATCTGCAACAACAATAAGTGCAACCTTCAATCGATGAACAAGAGAATCCAGTGGACTCAAACCTTTGTCGACAGAGATCTAGGATGCACAGGTCCCAAAAAAAAAACTTAAACCCGCCTTTCGTGGTGATGTTCGGGGGGGGGGGGGGGGGGGGGGGGGGGGGAGAATGATCCTCATGAGCACATTATTTCTATTAACAAGAAGATGACCATCATTAAAACTACTGATTCCCTCAAACTAGTGGCGGGAACGTTGAAAGAGGCAGCCCTCTGTTGGTAAGTCCATACTCCTTTAGAACAAAGTTGTTAACTCATCCTTTTCAGATCATGTAGTGTCTTGGTTGGTGGAAAGTTTTCCCAACGACGCCATCTTCTTCCTGTGAGGCTCTATTCTTGGCTTCAAATTCACAATGTCACCTCCTACACATTTAGTTGTTGCACGTGATCCACAGTCATAGTCACCATTTTTAACCTTAATTTGTCCCGGTAGCATATTCAGATGGTCTTCTGATCACCTTAGATGACTCTCACACATTCGTTGGGAAGCAGGTACTTCATACATAAATATAATGTAGACAGAACGACTCCCAAGAGATTGAAAGCAGACCGCCCTGTGATCATGTTGTACAAGTTAGACAAGTCACTTAATGATGACTTAATAGTATTAAGCATACAAATCATATGTAATTAGAATACTTGATTTTGTCTTTATTTGTTTCCTTATTAGTAGCTTGTATGATCTTCTCTCTTGTGTATAAGTACATCATTGTTGTAATGAGAATATAGAACATTAAAACCATTCTATTCATATTTCTATGTTGGTATCAGAGCTTTAAGCTCTGAAAGCTCTTGATCCACTAAAATCCCAAAATGGCAACCGCTGCAAACTTAAAGAAAAATAACCTACCAACATCAGTTTCAATGACCACTGACATTACAACACAGTTGATGCACTGTGAAAGCTCCAAACAACTTTGGGATGAGGCTCAAAGTTTGGCAGGTGCTCAATCCAAATCTCAGATCACATACCTGAAATCCGAATTTCATGGCACAAGAAAAGGAAATCTAAAAATGGAGGAGTATTTGACTAAGATGAAAAAGCTAACTGACCAACTGAAGCTTGCAGGAAATTGATAACACGAAATCATATAGATATTTTCATGCATAATTCAACTAAAATCTAACCGTTTTCAATCTGATTTCGGGTTATTCCCGTGTATTTGTCTGATGTTTTGCAGGTATTCAACGATCACGTCTAAACAAGGCAACATGAAGAAAAGGAGCAATCTCAGATGAAATATGGACGAAAAAGGAGTGAAAATACAATGAAAAGCGCAGCAAGCTGTTTTTGCTGATGTGACGACCGTCACAGCTTCATGACGACCGTCACACGGGTGACGACCGTCACACCTTGTGACGACCGTCATGCAGGCAAAAACGCCCCACTCAGATTACACGTCAAAAGAGCAGTTCCAATTCCCACGGAGTGGACCACTACTCCCTAAATTATCTGCCTCAAGGTCCATCATCTTCAGTGATAACCGTTGGGATTCCACTTCTATAAAAAGGGAAGCAGAGGACTTCAGAAAGTGTGCTGCATTCATACCACGAAGTGCTGCCGAATTTACCTTCCAGAGCATATTTTCCAGTTTTATTCTTATTTGTTTCTCTCTACCTTTCCTGTATTCCCATTTTCATTCTTCTGCAATTTCTATTTTATTGTACGATCAAATTGGCACTAAAGACCAGAATCCTGCCAACATCTGTGGAGGATCTGCCCAAAGGCCAATTGGAATATTTACAGGTTTTCATTTTGATCGATTTCAGTTTTATTATAATGCAAATTATTATTTATTGTTCTTATTTATATTTTATCTTTCTCAAATCCATGTCTAGCTAAACTTAGGTAATCGATATGTAGTAATAATTCGAATGGGATTTGATAACCACTGGTTGAAAAACTTTCTTTTCAAAAAGTAATTTATGGTCTGAGTGTTTAAAAGTGATTCACTGAATAAACTTCGTCGCGAAAGCGAGAACTTATTTAAAAGTAGTTTTGCCACGAAAGTGGGAAATTAATTAAGATACGAACCAACAAGCGAAAGCTGCGGTAAGGTCAGATAGTAAACACTAGGCATTTGTTTTAATAACAGCGAAAACACTTTAAAATGAATTAGAACTTAGAGATTTCCAAAAAATAATTTAAACCCCGAACGGGATACGAAAGTGTACGTTTGACCCTTAGGATTATGATTAGCGTTAATAACCATCGTGAGGCGAGAGTCTTCAAATCTCCATTTTCTGCTTAAATAAACTTTGAAAATTATTTCATACACCAGTAATTTATCAAATCCCTGAAGAACACAATTACTACGTATCGATTCAATTAATTATAATCTAAATAGTAATCTTAGTTCCCTTTTAGTGACAATCTTATTCCCTTAAACATATTCTACCTAGCTAAACATAGTAACTCCCGAGAACACTAGTTTGATTACGAGTCCCTGTGGGATCGATATCTATTATTACTACGCGATAGACTGTGCACTTGCAGTTAGTTGTATTAGACATAGAAAGTCGGGATCAAGTTTTTGGTGCCGTTGCCGGGGACCCGTTTAGTCAATAGTGTAACCTTCTGTTACACCGTATAGACTAGGTAAACAATTTTCATCTTTCCTTTACTAGTTCTATCGATTGTATGCCAAGAAATCGCCCGCAAGGCGATATCGTAAAACCTTCGGTCGCAGAACTAGAACGCTTCTTACATTTAAGAAGTAGAATCATTGAGTACCAACTCAAGCAACTCAAACATAACATTCCCGAACCTCTCACTCCCATTCCCAAATCAGAAGAAGTAGAACCAGAGATGGCTGAAGGACCTCCAAACAAACCGCTGAAGGCATACGCTACACCATCTCAGATGGAGCCTAGAAGTAGCATTGCTGCCCTAGCTATTACCCGAAATGATTTTGAGCTGAAACCATCATTGTTGTCGGCTGTACAACAAAACCAATTCTCAGGAAACGCAACTGAGGACCCGAACCAACATCTAACGAAGTTTGTACAATACGCAGACACAGTGAAAGCAAATGGAGTAACTCCAGACGCGATAAGACTTCGTATTTTCCCATTCTCTCTTAGAGACAGAGCGTGGACATGGTTACAATCGTTACCATCCAACTCCGTTACGACGTGGGAGCAATTGAAGAACGTCTTCTTAGCGAGATATTTTCCGCCAAGCAAAACTGCTATGCTTAGAGCTCAAATCAACGGATTTCGACAGAAAGATACTGAATCTCTTTACGAAGCATGGGAACGATTCAAAGATATGAGTAGAACATGCCCTCACCACGGTCTAGAAGACTGGGTGACAATCCATACTTTCTATAATGGGCTTCTATACAATACTAGATTGACAATAGACGCTGCTGCGGGCGGTGCACTTATGGATAAGCCATACGATGAAGCCTATCAATTAATAGAAAACATGTCACAAAACCATTGCCAATGGGGAGGTGAACGCATTCCAACTGAGAAAACCACAGCGAAAGGTGGGATGTACGAAATCAGCAGCCTTGAAAAGTTCAATGCTAAAGTAGATGCTCTAGCACAGAAGATTGATAGTCTGACCGTTAACCCCACTGCGACTGTCGCTGCAGTAACTCCAAATTGCGAGTTATGCGGAAGCACCACTCATAATGCACCCGAATGCCTATTGCTAGCCGGAATCCCGCCAGACCAGGTAAATTATGCTCAAGGAAATCCCTACGCAAATACCTACAACCCAGGTTGGCGAAATCATCCAAACTTTTCTTACAAAAGCGAAAATGCATTGCAAATGCCTACTGCTCCGCCAGGGTATCATAAACCAGCTGCTCAGAATGCACCTAGGAAATTAAACCTTGAGTTGATGATGGAAAAGTTCATAGCAACTCAAGCTCAAACCAACAAAGAATTCCTGAATCAAAACATACACACTAGCGAGCAAATTAAA